AAGCAGAATGTCCACATGTAGAAGAATGTGATAGATCCATATTGATCATTGTACAGAAAACTAACTACAAATAGATCAAAGACATCAGTGTAAAATCTAAAATGCTAGCTTTTCCAGAAGAAAACTGAAGCAGGACCCTAAAGAATATGGGTGTAGGAAAGGATTTCATGAACAGGACTCCTTATGTCTGGAAATTAAGGTCAACAATTGACAAACATTGCCTCACAAAATTAAAAAGCTTTGTACAGCAGAGGAGGCAGTCAATTGAGTTGAAGGCAAACTCTATAAAGTGGGAATCTTTGCCACCAGTACATCTGATAATGGTTTCATATCAGAATCTATAAGGTACCCAAAACTAAGACTTAAGAAAACAAATGACTCAACTTAAAAATGAGATATGAGAGATGGACATAGTGTCTCACACCTTTAATATCAGTACTACAGAGGTAGAGGAAGGTGGATTTATGCAATATGAAGAACAGCCTGGTCGACATAATGAGTTCTAGGACAACCAGGGCTATGCAGAGAGACTCTATCTCAAGGAAGGTGGGTAATAAAGTTGAAAAAATTCTCAAAAGAAGAAATTTAAAGTATAAAATATGGACTGAATGTTTGTTACCCATGGAAATTAGGTAAATAAAAATTAGAACAACTTTGAGATTTCATATTACCAATCTCAGAATGGCTAAAATCAAGACAACCACAGCAAATGCTAGTGAGGATGTAGGAAAATAGGATCATAATCTACTGTGTGATTGGAAACAGGTGCAAACTGAAAATCATTGTAATTCATTCTTCAATAAACCAAACACACATCTAACATATAACCCATATTTACCACTTATTGGCAATTCTTCAAAAAATACAACATCCTACTCCACAGATGCTTGCGCAGATATGTTCATTGATGCTCTGTTCACAATTACTAGGAAATAAAACAACCTAAATATCCTTCTATAAATAGATAGTAAATAGATAATGAAAATGTGGTATATTTATAGAATGGAATACCATTCAGCAGAAACTTAAAACAAACCAGGCAGTAATTGAGTGGAACTAGAAAATATTATATTGAGTGAGATAACCCAGACCCACCAAGACAAATACCCCATGTTATTTAATTCCTTTGGTTCCTAGCCTCAATCTAAGATGTGTGAATACAACAGAGAGTGATCACAGAAAGGAGAAAACTAAAATGGGTCTGTGACAAGGGGAACATCTAAGAGGGAAATAGCAGGACACAGGTAATATGAAGGAGAAATGGGGAAAA